ACCTGGATTTAGACAAATGACTCTACCTTTATTCCAATACCTTCATACTGATTTATACCCTTGTGTAATCCAATACAAACAGCTCCAACTCCACTGAACACAAGGCCTCCAAATATTACTTAAAACCAAAAATATTCTTGGTAGAGTAGTTTGGTCCTGGAGGACCAGGGATCATATGACTATGTGGGGCTCTTGAGAAGCCTGAGTTGGATTCAGATGTACTGAAAATTCCTTCAAAATTATATGTCAACTGAGGTACATGTCTGTGTCTGTGCACATGACTGTACAACTGCTCATATGTATTTTTCTGAAGAAAGTTTCTACCAATTTCTAATATTCGTAAAGAAAACCTCTGTGCCCTTAAATGGAGAAGAACCATTTCCTACTGCAAATGTTCTGGGTCTTCAAAGAAATATCCCCTGAGCAGATACCTCATCCTTGGTCAAGGCGTGTTCCAGAGGTCACCGCCATCTATTTCCATCTGTAGCCATGAAGGCATGCAGCCTCATTCCAGGGGTCAGCAATGAACTAAGTCACCTCAAAGACGTTGGCACCGGCAAGGTCCTTACAACACCAATTGTCTCCAAGAAACAGGGATGGTGTCACCAAGAGCACTAAGAGTAATTATTTCATGGAATCAGCCCATATTTCACATTTTCCACAAATACTCTCCATCAAGAATGTAATGTGACACCCAAAACAGCACTGGCTAGAGATAAAATATGAAAATGAAATGGAAACACACACTTATTGCCAAGATGTTGGGAGTGTTTTTTTCTTTTCAAACATTCAAACCTAGGTTTCCTAGCCGATGTCTGAATGAGCAATAGCTATTGGAATCATGGCCATACGTTTCGTGTGAGTTTCACAAAGCAAAGACAAGGTTTAATTGGCTCACTGAACTGTGTCTTTGAGAGACCTTAATTTTCTTATAAGAACAGTAAATGCCAACAAGACAGACATCCCTGTTTCTCTCAACTGTTTATAGTTCAAAGAAGTAAACAAGATATCCCCTGCGTGCAGCAACATCTAATTTGAATTCGTGCAAGTGTTAGAGGAGGAGAAGAGAGAGGGATGGTATAAAAGCGCCCTCAAATATGCCTGATACCTAAACCCTTGAAGCCTGACTCTGATTCTACTGTGACTGAACATGCCATTGAAGTCTTGAGGTACGAAACACGATGGGATTTGCCAATGTGTTTACTTCCTAATGGCTTTGAGATAGCATTTTGGAGGCCTATTCATCTTGCAGACATATGGCAGGAGTGCCATTTGTCAAGCTGGATTCTACATTAAATAGAATCCTTGTGTCTTCTAATATCTCCTAAGAGGACCATCACACTAACTTGGGCAGGGCTTACAAGAGCTCAGCCAAAGTGTCACCTCCTCTGTGGCCAATTTAATTGCTCCCTTTTCTGTGCAGGCCAAACAGTGTCATGGTCATTGGCTGTTGCCTTGAGGGGCTCAAATCCTGCTGGGCAGAAACTATGTCTTATTTATCTTTGGGTCTCCAGTAACTTGTAATGCTTTGTAACCATAAGAATCTGTGCCATGGCTGTAGGGATTCATTTAATGCCAGCCGAGTGTCAGAGTAGACTCCCACCCAGATTCTGACCATGCTCCACAGTGTGCCATTGGTTCATATTTTCTTATCTGTAAAGTCCCTAAGAAAGCACAGGATTGCACACTCCCTGCTGACACAGCCCCAGGAGGAGGAGAGGCCTTAGCTTAACATTTTCCAGGCCCTGGCTGGATAAAGAATATTAAAAAAAAAAAAAACAGACACTTTCTGGGGCAAAATCCATCATAGGCACAGTATATCTTTTGCCTCAGGAAGGCTCTTGGCACCCAAAAGTCAGTTACTGTGTATGTGTAAATAAACCTTCCCGAGAAGGTGGCGTGACTTGCCTGAGTGATGGAGCCTGTTGCTCTCCAGGCCTCGAATGTCCCGAGGAGCAAGGCAGACAGAGGGGGTCATTTTTCTCTGTTCCCACAGGCTCAATACTCAGGTGTAGACTGGATCCCATCAAGTTTTGGCTGCCCCATCTGGCAGTGAGCTCAAGAGAGTAGGGACTGTGTCTTGATTGGTCAGCTTTTAATGCCCTCGATTAACAGAGACAAGATTGGCCTCTGAATAGCACTGCATTAACTTTCCAGAGAGATGAGCAAATGCCTATTCTCCTCAGATAGGACATCAGTGACAGACCAAAGAAACCATTCCACCCAAATCTGGCCTAGTACAACTGGAACCACTTACAAGGAACAATGGGACGATGGTGAGGAGGTGAGGAGTTACAGGGACTCTGGCAACTTACAGGTGACAACTATAACATCCAACAGTCTCTCCCCTCCAACTACTGTCAACTGCTTACACGTTCTCAGGAAGTGGAGGGCTCAGGTACCCCTGCTGTGAGCCTCACTCCCACGAGGGATTATTAGTGGGCCAGTCAGTCTTGTGGGAGTCCGATATGGGCAGTCACAGTTGCTTTGATTTCAAAGTAGAAATGACCATAGCATCCACAACAGTGGGTGATCCCTTACCCCTCAGTCAGAACTCTCCTGTCCAGGGAACCCCAGCACCAGAGATATGGAGTCTCCCTGCATCTCAGGATGGTTGGAGGGTGGAGTGTGCATATTCCAACATCCATTTTCAGTGGATCACAGAAGCCTAGTGGGGCCAAGTAGCATAGAAAACTGGATCTCCTGTATGTTGCCAAAGAGAAGGAAGGCTTCCCCCACCCCCCCACTCCCAATATGGTGCAGAGTATCGAATCTAGAGCCTTGTGTATGCTGGGCAAGTGTTCTTCCAAAGAAGAATTTCTCTAGTCTACAAAAGTAGTTTATCAAAGTAAATACATTTTTTTTAATTTGGTTGGTGTTTTGTTTTGACACTTTGTGTAACTTTAAGCTCAGCAACTGCCTTCTGGGGTTTATTCAGAATAGCTCTATTCCCAGAGGTCCAGTGTCTCTGTGGAGACTGAGCAGGTAAGGCAGTGGCAAAAGGAACTGGGTTAAGGATCTGAGCCTGGAGGATGGTGTGGGCGTTTCCACAGGACCCAGAAGTTTCAGCTTTAGACTACTGGCTTGGTAGACTGCATGTAGGGGACCAAGTTATTCTCCTCCTTGCTCCATGTCTTCTGATCACATTGGCTCTAAACTGGTCACGTGACTAGCTTCAGGCAACAGGATGTTAGCAGAAGAAAGGCAGGTGTGGATAGTGTGGCCTTACCTTCTCGTTGTATGACTCCTGCTGGCATCACAGCAAGCTCACCATGGAAGGGCAGCTAGCCTACACACTTGGTTATCTTGTGAAGCCTGATACCTGAGTGAGACTGCCCTGTCTCTCCCAGTGTCAGTCAGTCCCGCAGCTGAACACAGAAGAATCAATGAAGCCAGGCGAAGTCAGCAGAGTTGGCCCAGAGAGCAACATCCCCCTGGCTCACAGAATTTTGTGAGTCAGCTTTCAGGCTGGTACATTTGCTTTCCTATGCCTATGCATGTTGGGACGGTTTGCAATAGATAAAGAACTACCGGACAACATATTAGACTGCATGTAAAGCTAAACAAAATAGACACAGTTCCTGGTACCCTCTGAGGAATGGAGACTCTCCTTCATTGTCTGTAAGAGGAATGAAGACAATTTAAAGATTCATCTAAAATTGACATGGTTAACAATGGTGGCTCTGCATACATTGGAAAATGAGAACACAACTGAAAAGGGGTAGAATTGTAGCCACTTGCAGTAGTGCACCACCAAATTCTGATCGACAGGGAATGCAGGTTTGCTGTCCCAACCCCTCAGCATCCTCCTGCAGAAAAGGAACACAGAACACAGGAACACAGGTGACTAGATACAGTACAGCGGAGAGGACATCTTGGGGCCAGGGGAAGCTCGACAGAGTCCAGACATTCCAAGCTTTGCTTTTGGGGGACATACAGTGCACTGTGGGGGCAGTGAACCATTCCAGTTGTAACATGGTGTGGGGGAGGCAGGAGAGGGAGAACTGTGAAGCCAGTGAACATCCTGAAGGTATTGGTGTACTTCCAGGCTAAGTGCCTTTAGTCTCTCCAAAGGTGGTGCTAAAGCTATTTAACACTTACAAGTGCGCCCTAAGAGCAAAGGGTGTTGTAAAATTCTTAATGGCATTAGAACAATGGCTGTGTGTTAAATGGAGGAAGCCAAGTGTAAAAGGGCTTTACCCCAGTCACACCCCTGCCTACAAGGAACATGCAGGCTGTGGCGGTGACCAGGGAAGACTCTAACTTTTCCTCTTTTTATTCATTGCTAGTTTTCCAAAATGACACAACAGATATGCACTTCATGTGCACTGAGAAAATTTAATAGAAGTTACTAGTTTTAAAATGTTACAAGACATACTCATGTGCATACATGCTCTGCCTTACTCACACACACACACACACACATACACACACACACACACACACACACACACACACACACACGGGGGGGGAGACATACAGAGAGCCACATAGGACGTCATTTTGCTGCTTTTAGTGCCTCAAATGTCCTCCTGTCCCACTGCCCGTGCAGACTTTTCTCTGGGGCAGAGGGGTCTCTGAACCCACATTGTAGGTTCCTTCTAGCCTCCTGGGGAGTGGACAGATGAGCTCCAGCATTGCCCTGCAGAGGTAAGACAGGCGGTGATGTGGCCGCCTGGCTCTGTTCCGAAGAGCTTCGGGAGGAAGCGAGCAGGGGCAGGGAGTAAGGGCAGTAAGTAACCCAGAGCTGTAGTGACTCCCTCTACGGTCAGCCCTTCCCAGTCTCATCACTGACAACACAAACGCGTCCCTATGCAGGACAGAGACATTACCAAGGGTAGGAGGGAATTGCAGCTAGTCATCAGGCCGACACCATCAAGCTGCAGCAGAGCCTAGCCCGGCTCACTCAGCCATAAGTAGGACTGAATCGTTAGAACAATAGCCAAAGCAACTCACTATGGGGACTTCCAGAGGGAAATGGCAAAGTAATAAGTACAAAGTTCAAAACAATAAGTAGTTTATTAAAGACTCTATTGAAGAGCAGTCTACCAGCGGGTACAGTGACATGGCCAAAAACAGGAGTTTCATAAAATAAGGAAGTGTTGACTAGAAGACCACAGGATGGAAAATCAGAGTGGGTGTGGCCAGTACATAATGCTTTGGGGAGCGTGTTTACTGAATGATGAACTGTGGCACAGTTGGTGTTCCCGGTAAAGGGAGAGAGGGTACCAGAAAGGACGTCACCACACCACTGCCACCTTTCTGAGCATCGTTCTTCATGTTCATCCACCTCAGCCTCTTCATTGGCTTGTCCTTGGGCGGAGGGAGAGAAGCAGTCTGCTTTTGTCTCCTTGAAATTTCTATAGAATTAAAAACTGGGCTCTCTGGTCACCATGAAGGACAAAGGGAATGTCTACCTAACCTTTTTAACACATTTACATGTAGCTTAAGCTGGGCTTGAATACACTATGTAGACCAGGGTGACACTGGACTTCTGATCCCCTGCCTCCACCTTCTGGAGTGCTGAGATCATGGGTTTGCCCGCCACACTGAGTTCATGAGGTACTGAGACTTTGAGCATGCTGGACAAACACCCTACCAACTGAGCGACATCCACAGCCCCTATGGGCGCCTTTGCGTCTTTGAAAGCATCCTGCCTGCCTCCAGTCCATTCATGCAGAAGCAAACCACATTCTAGCTTAGTTAGCCTCCACTGGTCCTGCCACCGCTGAAGGAGGAGCGAATCACGTTTGCATACGTGCTTCACAGGGCTGCTGAGAGGCCCAGACAAGAACGCACAAGTGAACAAGCCCTGAAACATTCTAGAAACCCTGCATAGTAAATTTTTATGTATTTGCTTTTGAGACAGGGTCTTGGTAATAACTGAAGCTGGAACTCTATGTAGTCACAGCCCAGGCTGGGCCTTGAAACGATCATCCTGCCTCAGTCAATTAAGAACTGGGATTGTACACCTGTCTGGTTAACACTGTGCTCCCAATGAAAAGTGAGACAACCCATGACCTCCCCCACCCCAGCAGGGACGCAACACCTTCAGCCGTTCGGGCCTCAAGGGAAGCACTGAGTCTCCTTTGTCTCAGACCCAATTACCTTTAGTAAATGGACAGAGATTTCTTATGCAATCTGTTAGGATGAAGGGTTTAAGTTCTCCTCCTGGTCTCTGCGGCAGCTTTGGTGTCCCATGCTGAAGCCATTCACCCGAGCTACTCATTCCCACTATTTCAAGCTGCTATCAGACCTGTTCCCCTCCGGCCATTTTACAGCCTCTGTCTGCAGCAGAAGAATGGGGGAGGCATACTTTCTCATGGAAGAGGCACATTCTATAGCACAATTCACTTTTTATTCTCATCATCATTATGAACAGTTAAGTCCACAGTCCAGTTTCCAGGCAACGTAAATGCTTTGTATGTAGGACACCTGCACGCAACATGGTAGCATGGTCTTTTGTTTTCTTCTGGACTTCTGTTAAAAGGCAGTTCAAAACTGCAGTTACAGCAATGCAATCAGTCTTCGAGCAATTAAAGTCATTGGATTATCGAGCCAGTAGAATCCAGATGTTCTCCTTCCACCTAAGGCTCACTAAAAAGAATAAAACAGAAAAAGAGAACGAACCCAGAACAAAGCCACTTGCTGAGTGAAAGTCCAGTTCAGCCTGTGTGACTTGGGGGCCCACGCCCCAGCAAGTGGCGGGGGTAGGATCACTCCAGCATGTGTTGGAGCAGCGAGGGGTCTGCTTCCACAGCCTGGAGACCCTTGTGCAAACTCAGGAAGGTGGCTTGCTTCCCATAGCGCTGGCGCCAGCGGACAAACGCCTCCACTACCTGTGACTGCACGTTGTGGGGATGGTTGGCCTTGCAGCGGTAGATGTCAGTCTGGGACAGTCCCAGAGACAGCACCACGGGCTCCCACTCCGGGCCCAGCTTCTGGGCCAGCTGGTTAATCTGCCGGTCTGACGGGGAGCTGTTGAGGATATGTGAAGGGATTCCAGCCATCCAGTCACCTGATGAGGAAAGGACAGGAAGGCGAATGAGACAAGCAAGCACCTCAGAGCGGGAAGCCGTGAGAATGGGGGTGGGGGCAGACAAGCAACTACTCCTGGTCTTCCGGTACTGCTGGGTGCGGTGGGCCGCACAGTGCCGTCTAGCATCTCTGGAAGTGTTCGCTGGGAAAAGATGCAAAGCAGAGAAATCCACCGATGGCCACTTATTTCCTCCTCCTTGTGTATACAAACAAACATGGATCATGCCCATGGACACACCGTTTTGTCACAAGCTTTTCTTTGATTCCCATCTCTTGTCAGAAACCACACCAGGAGCTCTGGCTGAAGGCCACCTCCCTCCGTCGGTACCAGCCTGAGGGCCAGCGGTGTGCTGCCCCAAGCTGTGAGAGCTGCTCCCATTGAAGGAGGGGCTCCAGCGCGCGCGTGCGTGTGTGTGTGTGTGTGTGTGTGTGTGTGTGTGTGTGTGTGTGTGTAGATGGGGAGTGTTCAATGCCATAGCAACAGCTCCTCTCTCCTGCACCAGGAGAAAGGAAGCTGGAGCCCAGAGTGCCCACCCCCACTCCAAAAAAAAGGCCATAGAGGCAAGAGTTGATGGGAGAGGCGCATAGACGCCATCTGAGTGGTCTCACCATCCCAGTCAAGTACACCAGAGAACCAGGGTTCGTGCTTGGGAGAGCATTGACCTTGCACTTCCTAAGCAGGATTCCAATCTGCCTGAGTCCTAAGAAGTGTGACAGTGGGTGGCTGTAAATGTGTACAGCGCACTCCAGAAGCGATGTCTACCCTGGCGTGAGCCACAGAGCAACGAGGCCAAAGCGAAGCCCAGGACAAGAGAAAGCCGGGCGAAGTGGTGGCCCAGCTCCCCCCAAGGGCATTGCATGGGCAAAGGTGGAGGACAGGAAGGAGTGGATGGCAGCCAAGGGCGGGGTTTGGGAGTGGATGGCAGCCAAGGGCGGGGTTTGGGAGGGACTCCAGGCATCCAAGGGGATGGCACTGGCTGCAGGTGAGGCTCAGGCATCTGTGCCACGGAGCTGTATGACACTTGCTGGCCAGCGACTTCACATCTCAGGGCTCTTCACAGCCCCCCAGCCCCTGCTTCCTTTTCCGGTTCTACTAAAAGGCAAAAGATCCTGCTAGGGGAGCAGTGGGTCCCACAGCCCTTGCCGCTGACTCCTCAACAGTCTAGGGCCGAGTTACAAAGACCCATTCAGTATTTGTCAGGTCTACAGTTAAAAAGGACAATGAGGCGACTGGATAGTGAAGATGCTACTACTGCTCAATTAATCAACAGTAACGATTTTAGTGAGCTTATAAAAATAAGAGCTCATTAGAACAATTCAAAATCCATGAAAAGTACGAAGAAGAAATCAAGTCATCCATTGTCCCCCCGGATCCCTCCTTACACACAGGGAGGGTAATTAGATCTCGGGGACATTCAAAATGGCAGCAGAAGAGTTTCCCTCTACCAACTGCTTTTCGTTTTGTTTGAAGAGAGCGGGGTGCAGGGGGAGAGAAACAGAAATAAACCTAAACGTTCTTGCAACCTGCAGTTAAGTCCTTAACACAAGACCACAGAAAAAGATTAAAATACACTTTTACTGTAACCCACACTGTGCCCCCCTCCTGCCCCCCTCCTGCCCTCTCTCCCGCCCCCTCCTCTCCTGCCCCTCACACTACTTGATTTTGTTGCTTTTGTCACTTTTGTCAGGTGCCTAATATTTTCTGGATTCTGGAGTGATAGCTGACATCCCATGCCCCACCCCAAGGGAAGACAGTAGGACAGTTCCTCCAGTGCTCAACAGTGTCCTTTGCAATTTGTTGTGACTAGTTTTCAATAGTGACTTTTCTGTCCCTGTGTCTGTCATTTTGATTTGTGACAACTGGTCAGTTTCAACACAAGATGGCTTCTTAGAAAAGATGCTTATATTTAGTGTGGCCTTAGAGTTCTTTGAGGTCAAGATTGCCTATCGCCTCATTAAAATACTGTCTTTATATTTAGAGAAACAATTATATTTATTTCATATTATTTAATATACTACTTTTGATTACAACCATACCTTTATGTTATATAAATAATTTTATTCCCCTTGCATATTTACAAAGTTTATAGACCTCCCTCCTATTTTGTGGGTGGTACTGTTGCTTTGGAGAATTCTGATAGCAACTTGGTTGTCCAACATTTTGTGTAGACTATTCGCCCTTCAAAAGAAATGAAATGCTGACAACATGGGGCTAATCTTGAGGACACTGTGCTAGGTGAACACAGCTCCTCTGCAGAAAGACAAACACTGTGTGGTTCTGCTCACTGGAAGGATCTACGGTGGTCACATGTGACCACAGCGGCAGAAAGGATAATGGCATCTGGGGACAGGAAGGAGACCTGGGCTTGGTGTTCAATGGGCAAGGAATTTGAGATATGTAAGATGAAAGGTTTCCAGAGACCTTTCCCTGCCTGGCACTTTTCAAAATTTTCTTTGCCTATTTGTTACTTTATCTGCTGCTGGTGATTTATAGTCAAGGTTTATTTTTGCTTTTACCTGCTTTTCCCTTCAGTTGATTGGATGTTGGGGAGAAACCATCAGTGTCTAGGCTACACTCTGGCATCTTTTTGTCTCCACGCCAACTCAGAATGCAACAGATGCTGTGAGACAATTGTCTGGCACTAGGACAAGCTGTGTTCTGATTCTTCTATACATTCATGGTCATATGCCCTATGAATACTGCCTCATAATTGAGATGGCAGAATCCTGTGGATACAGGCCAAAGCAAAGCAGATTGACATATTTATACTATCTCTCCCAAGCAAATCGTACCTTCTACCCAGATACCCCCTCCCTCCCTCCCTCCCTCTGTCCACCACCCCACCCCCACACAGTGTGCACAGCTTTGATGTCATCTGACCTCTAATAGCAGGAAAAGTTTCTTCCCTAAGGCCTTTTAAGTTAGTGACTTCTGCTCAATCTGAAGTTACTAAAACAATGAGAATTCTAAGGTTTAGTGTCAGAGGATAGACTGCATGAGATCAAGGGGAGGGTATAAATGAATCCACTGTGACCAGATGGTCATTGTGTAGCATGCAGGATGGTCTTGGGTCACACTCTTACAGATGTCTTATATGCTGGCAATCCCATCTATTTTGATATGGTGGAGAAGTTATAAATGACATTTTGAACCCCAGATTTCAAGGATTAATGTGGGTTAATTAAATTTTTAATTAAAAAGTTTAAAAGATAAGTGCGCACACGCACACACACACACACACACACACACACACACACACACACACACACACATTGCTGGAGAGTCTGACAACATACCAGTCACTCCAACTCACTGTGGCTATGAGCCATTGTTACTGTTTTTTTTTTTTTTTTTTTTTTTTTTTTTTGGTTTTTCGAGAAAGGGTTTCTCTGTAGCTTTTGGAGGCTGTCCTGGAACTCACTTTGTAGACCAGGCTGGCCTCAAACTCACAGAGATCCGCCTGCCTCTGCCTCCCGAGTGCTGGGATTAAAGGCGTGCGCCACCAACGCCCGGCTTGCTACTGGTTTAAAATAATATGTGGTGAAAAAGTAGAACTTATTCTAGGTTTGTAATAATTTTCAGCATCTGACTATTATTTCAACATATTGGTGGACTAAAAAGAAAAGCCATTATCTCAATAATGTTAAAATACATTTGATAAAGATACCTGTCTATAATTTTAAAGAGTATTTCTGTAAAAATTCTGAATTTAAGCACATTTCTTGCCTTGATAAAACCTGAAAATTATTCAGTAAACATTTTTTTTGATGGAGAACCTTCAAATGTATTCCCCTTAAGAATGGAAGTGAGAGGGCAGGAACAACGGTTCGAGGTCATCGTGGATACAGTAGAATGTACAAGGTGCCCCTGAAAACCACAAGGAAAAATAGGCGCCTCCACCAGAAAGATGATACAAATTAGGGGATCCACAAAACAATTACATGACAAGGTTCTAAAACACAGAATTTAAAGAAACAAAAAATGGAAACAATGATAAATCATTTTATATGTGGAGAAACCTAGACACTACCAGGTTTGTGCAGACAGCAAGCTGGCAGAGCTGGGGAACTGGATGTGCTTTGCAATATTGGTTTCAGTTCAATGTAGCAAGAAGAATTCTAAAAGCCTTCCACGGGGTGATGAATGGGCTGTCTGTATGCTGTTTCATTATTTGTGCCAGTTAACACATCTTGTAACTCAGCCCTCCCATTCAGAAGATATACATATAATATTACATATAAAATACATATGTGCCCATCCCATATATATTCTCAAGCATATCCACCAGGGTCATGCACATGTTTGTAAATCACTCAGGCAATGTGGTTGGATGTAGGAGGCAGAATCGACCAAACAGCTCACCACTGGGAGGGTTAGGAGGAAGGACACAGGGGCACACCAGCAAGGATGGATGACACGATACAGCACCAAAGGAAGATCCGTGAAAAAGCAAATTAAAATAATTGCCACTGACAAAGTAACACAAACAAATAAAAGAACACGTACTAGAGAAACATAGTTCTCTATGGGGGCGAAGGGGAGTAGATGGGATGCAGCATAGCATACGGGAGTGGACGAGTGTGGAGAACAGGACAGGCGTGGGGAAAGCAGGAAGAGAAGAGCGGGGGGGGGGGGTGGGAAGGGGGAAGGGGAGACCAAGAAGACCCACACAGTCAGGCAGTTATCTCGGGTCACTCCTGGCAATGACCATACAGGATGCTGTCTGTGGTTGGTGGGCTGGGTTGGGGACGTTCCAGCTGGCAAACTAGCCTCGTGGTCATTTCTAAGGATCTTTGTGAACTCCAGTTCTAGACTGCAAAGACCGCAGAAACATCCTTCTGGCTGAGGAAGAGGAGAGAAAAGCACCTTGACATGCAAACCAATTAGAAACCTTCACTCTGACTGACATCACAAAGAGCACCCCGTGCTCCCAGGGGCTGAGGAGTCAGCTATTTGATCTTCCTGAAGCCAATTTCCAG